AACATAGTATATAATTTTTTTATAAAATAGTATTCAAAATAGTGGATAAAATGTATATAATATTTTTTTATAATAAGTGTTTATTATATATCAGTCATAAATAGTTCATATTATAACACTAGTATTTATAAGATTGTGCAGATCTTCATCATTTTTACTAATGTGAGTAGATTAAATGTAAAGGTAGAAACTAATTTAGTAACACATAAAAAAAATTAAATGGGTTAAGAAATTATGCGACAAAATATTTTGAATAAAAAAAGTTAAACAAAAGATAAAACGAAAAACAACCTATATTATAAAGTAAGATGAAACAACTTTTAAAATGGAGCCCTAAAATTTAGCCTAAATAAAAGTGAAGTAGAGATTTTTTATCTATTTAAATATTAAAAATCTTTAAAATGGGCTTTAAAATTTTTCTAATTAATTGGGGCCTAAAGCAGTTGCCTTTTTGGTAACACGGTTCGCACGGCCCTGATTATCCCTGCTTTGCTGTGGAAGCTGAGTGCTAAATACATTTTTTTTGTTTTCGATCGGTTTAATGTTCTTTGAGTTTGTGGCTATATCACATCATACCGAAAATGCAAGATTGCCACATTTGAGAATACCATAATTCATCCTTTTCTCATAAATCACAAGACTCGCAACCATTTGGCTAACGAATCCCCAGGTTAGAGTCATGGCATTGCGATTGCGGATGCTAATTAAGCAAAGTGTAATATTTCCTTATGTCATGGCCAACTCGAGAAAATGTTTTTTGGACTACAAGATTGGTTTCGGTATTGGTTCAAATTTTTGTCGTGGTCTCTTATTTGATGCTTGGCCAAAATTTACCCAAAACAACACATGACTGTCCTCTTGTTGCGAGTGGAAGTTTTGTACAAAGTATTTAGAGGTACGTACTAATACGTTATCATGTAGAAGCTAAACCACAATCATTTGTTGCTATGCAAGAAAAATGAGAGTTTACTCTCCTAATAACTTTTTACACCAAATTAACCACATTTGTTAATGAATCTGCTAACAATTTTTAACATAAGCGTAATATAATTATACAACTGGTGGACCCTAATTAGTATGCACACTTGTAAGAAAAAAGACATTTGCATGTTGAATATGAATGCGTAAACACCAAAAACGGATACACATTAATGAAATGTGGAAAGGAATAATATTATTCTGACTAAATAAGAAAGGAATTAAGACGAGAGAGTGAAATGTGGAAGTGCGCTAAAGTCTGAGGTTATTTGCATGAGAGCTTCAAACACTCCTAAAATGTCGATCTTTCCTTAATTAGAAATTGTCCGCTCTTTTTTTTTTCTTAAACCATTTTCCTAATTTCTTGGATCATAATCGACACTGAAATATTCCTCAGAGTAATCTTTCTAATCAGTTTCAGAAAGAAAAAAAAACATTTTCTTAAAAAATTGTTGGGTTAAAATTTCCAAAATTAAACTTGGATGATCATAGTAAGAAAAAGGAATTGAAGACGGATGCATCTATGAAGACAGGTGAATCAAAGCACCTGATGCTTCTTGAGCTTATTCTTCTCTTCGATCCACTTTCTCAGATGGAATGGCAGATCCTTCTAACTATGTCAATCACGAGCGTGACGTCGATCAAGTTTGTTCTCTCCGATCCATCCTTCTTTCTATATTTTTCTCTTCATTATCTTTAATATTTTCTTGTTTATAAAAAAAAAACTTGCTTGAAAAATCACACTATAAATTACTCTAGACCACGACTTTTTGTGAAATGAAGAGAATATTGAATCTCAAACCACTTATAAAAACTTCACATTTCTATAAAGGACATTTTTGAAGAATGCTGTTGATCCGAACGCATCATTTATGTTTAAGTCTCTTTTACTCAAAGAACAAAAAAGTTAAGAAACAAAGATTACAAAACTCTTTATATATAAGTTTGTGATCTAGATAGATAATCAGTTCCAAGAATTTTTCATGTTTCAAATCAAGATGCAAAGGCTTCATATGGCCATTGTTTTTTTTTTAATTTTTTTCTGTTGCTAAAAATATATACACTAATTGCTTGTAGGCACTCATTGCTTTGAAAAAAGGAACTCAATTACTTAAGTATAGCCGGAAAGGGAGGCCTAAATTTCGATCATTCAGACTTTCGCCGGTATCTCTACTTCATTCATACATATATTGTGTATCTACAATATGACATTCTTATGCTCTGCTACGAAAAAAGTAAAATTTTATTTGTTATCGCGCTTCAACAGGATGAAACAACATTGATTTGGTTCTCACACGGAGAAGAAAAAGGTTTGAAGTTATCGACAGTTTCGCGAATTCTTCCTGGACAAAGAACTGTGAGTGTAACTATTATTCAAAAAAAGAACTTGTTTCCATGGAACTCACACATCTTGTTTGTTTAAACATAGGCGGTTTTTCGAAGATATTTACGTCCGGAAAAAGATTACTTATCATTTTCTCTCATATATCACAACGGAGATAGATCTCTTGATCTGGTTAGTAAAAACAATAACATGTTAAATTTTCTTTCATTTTATACTTTCACATTTTTTTTTATGACATCTTCATGTTTATACTCCACAGATTTGCAAGGATAAAGCTGAAACAGAGGTTTGGTTTGCAGGTCTTAAGTCTATCATTAGACAAAACCGTAATAAACACGCAAGAAGTGAGATCCCTGAGGTTTGTGTGTGACTTTGTATGTATATATTCTATATTAAAAGAATCTCCAATAGTAGCTTATAATATTGTAACTAAATATAATTCATTTTCAGATACATGACAGTGATTGTTTCTCCACTGGTCGTCCTTCAACTGCATCTATAGATTACATACCAAACAATACTCGACGAGGAAGAACATCAGTTGACTTAGGACCATATAACTCTCCAACCAATTTTGGAAGCTCAGATGTGGTTTCAGAACGTGGAAGCATGCTAAGACCAAGTACTGATGGTTTTCGGATTAGTGTCTCAAGCACACCAAGTTGTTCAAGTGGTTCTGGTCCTGATGACATAGAGTCATTAGGTGATGTTTATGTATGGGGAGAAGTTTGGAGTGACGCGGCGATATCATTCGATGGGATTGTAACCTCCAAAACCGTGAGAACAGATGTATTGATTCCAAGACCCTTGGAATCAAATGTTGTTCTTGATGTTCATCAGATTGCTTGTGGTGTAAGGCACATCGCGCTTGTGACAAGACAAGGTGAAGTCTTTACATGGGGAGAAGAAGCTGGAGGAAGACTTGGACATGGTATTCAAGTCGATGTTAGTCATCCAAAGCTTGTTGAGTTTCTTGCTCTTACCAACATAGATTTTGTAGCTTGTGGTGAATATCATACTTGTGCGGTCTCTACCTCTGGAGATTTGTTTACTTGGGGAGATGGAATCCACAACGTTGGTCTTTTAGGACATGGTAGTGATCTTAGTCACTGGATACCAAAAAGAGTCTCTGGTCCGGTCGAAGGACTTCAAGTATTGTCTGTGGCTTGTGGCACGTGGCATTCCGCGTTTGCGACAGCTAATGGAAAGTTATTCACTTTTGGTGATGGAGCATTTGGTGTTCTTGGACATGGAGATAGAGAGAGTGTTTCTTATCCTAAAGAAGTGAAAATGTTGAATGGCCTTAAGACTATGAAAGTAGCTTGTGGTGTGTGGCATACAGTTGCTATAGTTGAGGTTATGAATCAGACCGGTACAAGTATGTCATCTAGAAAGTTGTTTACTTGGGGTGATGGTGATAAAAACAGATTAGGACATGGGAACAAAGAGACTTACTTGCTTCCAACTTGTGTCTCTTCACTAATTGACTACAATTTCCACCAAATTGCTTGTGGTCATACATTGACAGTTGCACTCACAACCTCAGGACATGTTTTCACTATGGGAGGGACATCACATGGTCAGCTCGGTAGCTCAGGCTCCGATGGTAAATTACCTTGTTTGGTTCAAGATCGGTTGGTTGGTGAATTCGTTGAAGAAATCGCTTGTGGAGATCATCATGTGGCTGTATTAACATCTAGAAGTGAAGTATTCACTTGGGGAAAAGGCTCTAATGGAAGACTAGGACATGGAGACACCGATGACCGAAAATCGCCAACATTGGTTGAAGCTCTTAAAGAAAGGCATGTGAAGAGCATATCATGTGGCTCTAACTTTACATCAAGCATATGCATCCATAAGTGGGTCTCAGGAGCTGATCAATCAGTTTGCTCTGGTTGTCGTCAAGCATTTGGTTTTACAAGAAAGAGACATAACTGCTATAACTGCGGTTTAGTACATTGTCATGCTTGTAGTTCCAAGAAAGCTTTGAAAGCAGCATTAGCTCCAACTCCAGGGAAGCCGCATCGTGTATGTGATGCTTGTTACACTAAACTTAAAGCTGGAGAGTCGTCTGGTTATAACTCTAATGTTGCTAATAGAAATGCCACAACTCCTAGTCGGTCACTAGATGGCTTGGTAAGACCGGACAGAGAAACAAGATCGTCAAAGATTTTGTTGTCTCCAAAAACTGAACCAGTTAAGTACTTTGAGGTAAGGTCATCAAGATCTGAATCTTCTATTGTTAGAGCCTCACAAGTTCCAGCTCTCCAACAGCTTAAAAATGTTGCATTCCCGAGCTCGCTTAGCGAAATTCAAAATGCTTTTAAACCCGCTTCCTCGCTGTCCTCAAGTACAAGATCATCGAGAAAATCGAGCCCTCCACGAAGTTCTGGATTTTCTAGAAGTGTGGTAGATAGTTTGAAGAAGACAAATGGTGTTATAAACCAAGAAATGACAAGATTACAAAACCAGGTTTGTATAGTTTTATCTCAAATTCTCTGATTTTTGTATGAATCTAACATATTATTGAAAATCTTGTCCAATTTTAGGTTAAAAATCTGAAACAGAAATGTGATAACCAAGGTTCAGAGATACAAAAATTAAAGAAAACAGCAAGAGAAGCTTCTGAATTAGCTGTGAAGCATTCTTCAAAGCATAAGGCAGCAACAGAGGTCATGAAATCTGTAGCTGAACATGTAAGTTACTTAAAATTATGGATCATGAAACATACTCAAAAGATTAGTAAAATTATCTCAACTAATTTTATTGATCATTCTTCCATTTTATAGTTGAGAGAGTTAAAAGAGAAACTACCACCTGAAGTATCTAAATGTGAAGCTTTTGAATCCATGAATTCTCAAGCCGAAGCATATCTAAACGCGAGTGAAGCTTCTGAAACATCTTTACCTACAACTTTGAGAATGTTTCAACAAGACACAGCCCTTTCTACAAACACACAAGATCAAAAAATTCAAGAACAATCATCATCTGATGGAGGTACCATGATGTCTCAAGAACCTTCAAACACACAAGAGACAACATCTAAACCAATGGATTCATCAAGATTACCAACAGAAGCTTCATCGTCGTCGTCTAAAACTGGAGGCAAAGAACTTATTGAACAATTTGAGCCTGGTGTTTATGTTACTTACGTATTACACAAAAACGGTGGAAAGATCTTTAGAAGAGTTAGATTCAGGTACTTTTACTTCATCAAAAAAATTTCTCTCTTTCTCTATCAAGATTGTGTAAATTAATCATTTTTGTGTTTCTTGTAGTAAACGGAGATTCGATGAGCATCAAGCAGAAGAATGGTGGAGTAGCAAGAAAGATAGGTTACTTAAGAGATATAGTCATCATGTTTCATCATCAAGTCCAAGAGCTTTTGATTCAGTTCCTACTGTACCAACTCCAATTCAACCACCAGCTTCTCCTAAACAACCAAATTCTGATCAAGCAGAGGATTCAAAAGAAGCTCTTGAAAGCTAGTTATGTGTATAATAGCTAAATTGGGGAACAAGGCATCATTGGAAATGTCTTTAGTATAGATCCGAGTAATCCAAAATAGATAATCTGCATTCTAGATTCTTTTTTTTTTTTAACATTGTTATGTAATACTTGATCCATGATTTTCTTAGATATGGGAAACCAAAGTTGTCGAATTTCCA